AATTCCTAAGTTGTCTTAGGCTGGAAAAAATGTCTCCCTGACCTTTTGTTGGTTCTGCCTCTCTAGAATTCAAGTTGAGGTGTTATTTTAAAATTGTTTGGTGGAGAATCTTGGGAGAGTTTTGTTGAATTGCTGCTGCTATGCTGCCATATTAGCTCCGTACACTTTCAGACTGGGCATGTAAGTGCATGTCAGTCCCATATTCAATAACCAGGTAGTACCTCCTCAAGGAAGTCATCATCAGTATCAAGGAAACTATGCTTGTAGAATCTTATACGTTTCCACATGATATACCTGATTGCAGAAAACTCTTCCCCCTGGAAGCTCTCTCCCCACCCCTAGACTTCTCATATTAGAAGCACCTTCTGTCCCTTCAGCCTTATCTTCCTTGAAGCTCCATTTTAAGGAGGAAACCTAGGCCAGCCATGTCATCAATCCTCTCCAGGCTGCAGTCCTGACTCTCTGGACTTTCTTTACCAAGTTCCCCTCACCCCCTTTAAGCTTTCTTTTATGTGTTATTTTCTCCCATGAGAATTCAGGTCCTTGAGAGCAATAACTGACCTTCTTTCTGCTTGTAGTTGTATTTCTATCACTTAGCACAATGCCTGGCACAAAGTACTTAATAAATGCTCATTAATTTGACTTAATAAGGACATTTAAAAAAAAGTCATAAAGAGGCATCAGTTTCAAAATAAAACTTCTTAGCACAATATGATTACCTGATTACAATATTCAATAATGGTTTGATGTCAGCTTGGAAGGAAGTCTCTAGCGGAGTGCATCAGTGATCTGTGTGCTTGACCCTGAGCTGCTAAACATTTTTACCCATCACATGAATAAAGGCAAAGGTGGTATGCTTATCAAATGCACAAATGACACAAAATGAAGAGAGGTAACCAAAACTTTGAGATGATCAATCAATAAATGTTTATATAATGCCTACTATGTGCCAGGCACTGTGCTAAGTGCTGGGGGATACAAAGAGAGGCAAAAGAGCCTCTGCTCTCAAGAAGCTCATAGTCTAATGGGGGAGATAATATACAAACAACTGAACAAACAAGATAGATAAGGATAAAATGGAGATAATAGTGTCTAAAAAGGTTTCAGTAGGCTAGAACATTGAGCTACCTAATAAGATGAAATTTAATAGGGATACATGTAAAGTCCTACACTTAGATTAAAAAAAAATCTCACAAACAAGGTGGGAGAGTCACAGGTAGACAAAAATTTCATTTGAAAAAGATTCAGTTTGTAAACTTAATATGAGTCAATAATGTGAAACATGAACTCGAAAAAGTTAAGGTCATCTTAGACTGTAGATCAGCATAGTATCTAAAAAGGCAATGCCTCTACTTTACTTGTCTCTGTTTCTGAGAGTTCTGTGGTCATTGCATCACCTTGTAGGAGAGACTTTGGTAAGCCACAGGGCATCTAGAGGAGGGCAAAGAAGATGTTGAAAGGCTTCAGGGTAAGGACACATGAGGATCCGTTGAAGCAACAGGAGATGTTTAACATAAAAAAGAGAAGGCCTAGAATAGACATGATAGTTGTCTTCAGATACTTAGAGGCTGGGGAGGTAGAAGGAGGCTTTGGTTTGTCTGCTTGACCTCAGAAGGCAGCAGTAGGAATAATGAAGAGAAGTCACAAGAGAGGCAGATTTAAGCCTAGTGTAAGGAAAAGCTTCCTAACAATTACAGCCACCCAGAAGAGGAATCAAGGGCCTCAGGAAGTAGGGGGTACTCCCTCACTAACTGATCCAGAAAAGTCTGGATGACCAGATTTGTTGAGATAACTTTTATTCAAATATGGGTTAGATTGGATGGCCTCTGTGCTCCTTTCCAAATCTGAGGTTCTGTGAGTCAGTGATACAACATATAATTTCCTCCTTTGCTCATTTCGTTCTTCATTTCTGAGCTGATTATCTCTCCACATCTCAAACCTGTTTACTTCCTTCCCTTCCTTCCTTCCCCAGAACAGGTATCACCTGTTCCGTGAAGCATCCCCAGATTCCCTCAGCCAGGCTTAATATTTCTTGAATCTCTCTTACCGCTCTGTACTGCTCCTATGCACTCCTTCTAAGTTGTATTGCAATATTTTATATATTTGTACTATTCTTCTAATTATATAACCAAGTCCTTTGAGGGCAGGATTTGTATCATTTCTTTCATCTTCTTCTCTCCTCTAGTGCAGAGCATCCTAGGTGCTCAATCAACATTTGTTGACAAAATTGTAACTCTGGTAGGGGCAATCAGACCTTTGCCCTAGGGCACTGAAATTTAAAGGATGCTATAGCACAGTTCTGCTACAGCATGGAAGCAATTGAGCTTAGCACCTAGTTAACAAGCATAATTAGGTAAAATGAGAAAATACCAGATGATGTGCTAGAGGCTACACCACATAAGCTTTTTTCCTGGTTTGCCCTTCGTCCCTGCCAATGGCAGCATCCCCAGTAGCATGCTTCATTCACTTGCCCCAGGCATGTGCTATTTGCCCCATATGCAGAAATTGCTAGTTAATGGCTCTGTTAAATTTCTCTCTCTCAATGGTTGCCCTACAAAGACTGCTTTGCCAAGAGTATAGGCACAGACTAACTAATGGAACTGTTTATGTAGGTGATCTGGCTTTTGCTGAAAATATGTTCATCCAGGGTTCCAATGTCATCTTCTAATCAGGAAGGGAAACCACTTCAGTACAGGAAGGGCAAAGGTGAGCTTTTTGGTTAAGACCTTTTTTTTCAATTTTATATGACTATTATTTAATAAAACCATATGTTTGCAGTTCAAAAAGTTCTAGACTGATAAACTCAATAGAACAAGTGGAAAACTGTATAAACAATCAAATCATGATATATAACAAGTGTATCAAGAGTCCTCTATAAGCAATTTGAGTGAAAACATTCAAAAACATAAGCAGAATATGGGAATTTTTGCATGAGTGCACCTGTATAAATCAGATTGCTTGCCTTCTTGATGAAGGGGAGGGGAGAAAAGGAGGGAAAGAATTAGAGAACCAAAAATTTTAAAAATGAATGTAATTGAGAAAAAAGAATGGGTAAAAGATGATCCTCAAAAATATACATAAAGAGTCATAAAGTACTTTTAAAAACGAACTTTTTAAAAACTAAATAAGACACAATGACTACTGACACAAGGTGCCACATTTGTTCTCTACTTTAACGTGCAGGCTGCCCAAAATCCCTAACGTGAAGTCTTAGATTCTATGGAAGAAGAATCCGCATTGTAGGTCGAAAGCTTTTCCTGGTTACTGTATACCACCTTACTAGAGCTACTTAGAAGGTACATTGTAAATCTCTCCAAGAATCTAATCAAGCTTAGCCAGATTCTCTACACCTTAAAATGTTGGTACACTTCTGAGGCTTTAAAAGGTCCCTGATTACCATGGATTTCTCCCATCTTTGTCTCACTTCCTCCTGATTTTGCTTATCTGCTCCTGGATGGAGATGGGCTGTCAGCTGAGGGACTCCCATTCCTGCTTCATGGTCAACAGAACCCTGCAGATCAATTCTTAGGACAGTGATTATAATGAAGGTAAGAAAGCTACATACATCTTCATCCTCTCTTTGCTATCCCAAACCCTGTAATCTTGAAGTCATCTGCAGATAACCCAGACACTATCTTTTATCAGGGCTTAGTCTGTTAGGGAAGAAAACAATGAGTTTAGGATGATATGAAAGGAAGACAAGGGTTTTTTCTCAGCCTCACCAGAGGATCATGGTCTCTTCAATTAGAAGTGGAAGAGAAGCCATCCAGTCCAATCTCCCATTATACAGCTGACGAAACCAAAGCCTAGAAGATGACAGGACATACCCAAGGTCCTACAGGTGCTAAGTGACAGGACTGAGATTTGAACCCAACTTGAGATCCCACTCACTTTCCATGTCCATGTCACTTTCCAACCTCCATGTCTCCTGTATGCAAATCATTCAACATGGTTGTTGTTGTTGTTGTTTTTTCACTAAAATAGTTTACCATATGCCTGACTTTGGATGAATCGTTTAACCTCCCTAAGCCTTGATTTCCTCATCCTTAAAATAAAGGGGTTGGCCTAGATGACCCCTGAGGTCCCTTCTGGCTCTAATCTATGATCCCATAATCCATTTACCTTCCATAATGGATAATGTGCTCTGAACCCCGGGAAGAATTTTTTTAATGTTGACTGATTCCCAAATAAAGAACCTATGAAGCTCAGTGGAAAGCAGCACATGCATACGCTATTTCATCCAGGCCCTGGGAAAGGGGCATGAACATGGTTCAGGACAATGAGTCATTCAGCCCAGTCCCTCCAATGCAGCACATCAGAGGCACTATGGTTTGAATTGAACACTGCACCAGTGGCAGGTGACTTAATTTTATGTACTCTGACTGGTGGCTCAAGAACACCTCGTTTGCAGGAAGTGATGAGAACAGTTGGCTGGGCAAGCCCACCTGGGAAGGCTGGTAGGTAGGGGAGCTCCTCCTCACCATAGGAGCAAAACTGCTCCCTCCACAAAGAGAAAGAGAGAGGGCCCATTAAGAGATCACAGCAAGGACTATACTTTAGCACTGTACCTAATTAGAAACCTAGGAATTCAACAAATTAATTTTTACACCATGCACACTGATCTAGACTAGATTCTGAACTCAAAGGGTGAGGTTTCTTTCCTCTTAGTAAGCTAACAGTTTCAGAATAACAGAGGGCAAAAAAACCCCCAAAAACATGGAGGAAAAAAAAAGCATGGAATGGTACTTCAATGCAATTTTAATCCAAGTTTGCTAGGAGCCCTTATCTGCTTCTCCCTTGTGAGCAACATTTGAGCATGTCACACAATAACCACGAACAGTTAAGAGGCACCAAACATGTTCCTCTTTGGGGAAGGGAGGAAAGATTCATTGGCACACAAGGCAGCCCCTAAATCTCCTTCCCCAGAGCTAGACATACACCCCCTCAAGACATTACTTGAAAATTGAAGGTCAGGGGACTTTGGTAATTTTCTTTCTTACCCAGTTCTGTTTCCTTCGGGGCTTGTTGTGCTCACCAATGCTGCAACGAACAGACAAAACAGCAAAATCTTGACAGCCTTCAAGACATTTGAAACCCCTGGCATGGCTCCAACTCTTCCTGGAGCAGGCCACCTGGGCCAGCTACTACTATAGCTTGCCACCCTCCCCCCAAAACTGCACCCCTAGCTCCATGCACCACTATGCACTGCCAGCGTCCAGCCAAAGAGAAGTTGAAGGGATACCCAATAAACAAGTTTAGCCTTACCTGCCATTGTTCTCTTTGGCCAGGGGCTGAACTGAGCCAGAGGAATTCCTGCTCCAAAGAAATAAGCCTAGAACAGGTGAATAGTTAATAATTAACCAGAACTTGAGGAGCCCTGGTCAGTGAAACGGCTAAATGAATGAGAAGAAACTCCAAACTAAAAATGCCAAGTTTTCTTCACAAACAGACTTGGAGAAGCAGTGGAAGTCCTCTTGCAGAGTTTAGGGGCAGAGGAGCTACTTCTAAACATCCATTTGAGAATGGAAAAAAACAGACCTTGGGCTCCTAAAAATTCTAGGTGAAATGTGCCACTAAATAAAACACCATCTGAATTAGTTGTTTATCTCAGTTTTTTGGGTTGTTGGTTTTTTGTTTGTTTGGTTGGTTGGTTGATTTATGGGGGATTTTTTGTTTTGGTTTGGTTTGGTTTTTTGAGTGTCTAGGTTCATTTGGAAGCAACTATCCAGTCTTTATTCTATATAAACTATGTCAGGCTGCCTCCCCTAAGGACAAGACAATAAGAAATAGGCTGAAGCTGCTGCATAAAGAATTGGTATTTGCAGTGTGACACCTCTCCCCAAAAGTCTTATAGTCAAATAATCAGGAACATTTCTTTCTTTTTCTCTTTCTTTCTTTCTCTTAAATCATAACTTCTCCAAGTCTAGAGATTCTTCTGAGAATTCAAGTTCTTCTCAAAGGATATATTGATTTCACATAATTTCATCCTGTCTGAATTAGCAATTCTTCATTGTCCCCAGAAACTCATCTTCCTACAAGATCAAATCCATTCTGAAACACATTTCCTCACCACCCCCTGCCCTTTGAGCCCCTCCCTCTGATTGGAGAAGGTGGATATCAGAGACCTCCTCCCAGATCCTCTATTTAAGGAGGGGACCCAGGGCAGACAACTCTTCACCCCACCTGGCTACAGGATTTCATCATGCCCCCTAACCGCCATGTGCCCTACTGTTTTTCAGCTTCTTTTATATATTGTCTTTCTCCATTAGACTGTGAGCAACTTGAGGACAGGGACTGTCTTTTGCCTGTCTTTGTATCCCCAGCACTTGGCACAGTAGGACAACCTGGCACACACTACCAACAAACATTAATAAATGTTTGTTGGTTGACTGACTGATCCAGTGTTTATGGCTTTATTCAGTGTCTGCCTATATATAGTTTATGTGAGTGATCTTGGATGGATCAACTAGCTTCTATTGATAACTTTGGTATTTCCAAAGTACTTTTTTTTATTATTACTATTATTTTTTAAAATTTATTTTTAGTTTTCAACATTTACTTCCACAACATTTTGAGTTTCAAATTTTTACCCCAACTCACCCCTCCCCCACCCCAAGATGGCATGCATTCTGAATATCCCTTCCCGTAGTCTGCCCTCCCTTCTATCTCTCCCCTTCTTCTCTTATCTCCTTCCCCTTCTATTTTCCTGTAGGGCAGGATAGATTTCTGTACCCCATTTCCTGTATTTCTTATTTCCCAGTTGCATGTGAAAACATTTTTTTAAACATGTGTTTTTAAAACTTTGGGTTCCAAATTTTCTCTCTTCCTCCCTCCCCACCCACCCTCATTGAAAAGGCAACCAACTAAATATAGTCTATACATGTGCAGTTATGCAAAACACTTCCATAGTAGTCATGTTGTGAAAAACCAACTCTATTTCCCTTAATCCTATCCTGTTCCCCCATTTATTCTATTCTTTCTTTTGACCCTGTTCCTCCTCGGAAGTGTTTGCTTCTGATTACCCCCTTTCCCAATGTGCCCTCCTGTCTATCATTCCCCTGCTCCCTTGTCCCTTCTCCCTCTATTTTCCTGTAGGGTAGGACAGATTTCCATACCTCTTCATGTTCCACTTGAGTCTTGTATTTGTTAAGTCAAATTTTCTATTCAGCTCTGGTCTTTTCATCAAGAATGGTTGAAAGTCCTCTATTTCACTGAATAACCATTTTTCCCCCTGAAGTGTTATACTCAGTTTTGCTGGGTAGGTGATTCTTGGTTGTAATCCTATCTCCTTTGCCCTCTGGAATATTATATTCCATGCCCTGTGGTCCCTTAATGTAGAAGCTGCTAAATCTTGTGTTATCCTGATTGTGTTTCCACAATACTTCAATTGTTTTTTTCTGACTGCTTGTAATATTTTCTCCTTCACCTGGGAACTCTGGAATTTGGCTATTATATTCCTAGGAGTTTTCCTTTGGGGATCTCTTTCAGGAGGTGATCGGTGGATTCTTTCAATTTCTATTTTGCCCTCTGGTTCTAAAATATCAGGGCAGTTTTCTTTAATAATTTCTTGAAAGATGATGTCTAGGCTCTTTTTTTGATCATGTCTTTCAGATAGTCCAATAATTTTTAAATTATCTCTCCTAGACCTATTTTCCAGGTCTGTGGTTTTTCCAATGAGGTAGTTCACATTGTTTTCTAATTTTTCATTCTCTTGGATTTGTTTTACAGTGTCTTAATTTCTCATAAAGTCACTAGCTTCCAATTGCTCTATTCTAATTTTTAAGGAAGTATTTTCTTCAGTTAGTTTTTGGACTTCTTTTTCCATTTGGCCAATTGGCTTTTTGGACCTCTTTTGCCATTTGGGTTAGGCTATTTCTTAAGGTATTGTTTTCTTCAGTATTTTTTGGGGTCTCCTTTCGCAAGCTGTTGACTTGTTTTTCATGATTTTCTTGCATCACTCTCATTTCTTTTCCCAGTTTTTCCTCTACTTCTCTTACCTGCTTCTCAAACTCCTTTTTGAGCTCTTGCAAGGCCTGGGACTGATTCATATTTATCTTGGAGACTTTGGATGTAGGAGGTTTGACTTTGTTGTCTTCTTCTGGTTGTATGTTTTGATCTTCTTTGTTACCAAAAAAAGGTTCTACGGTCTGACACTTCTTGCGAAGTTTGCTCGTGATCCCAGCCAATTACTTGAGTTATAAACTCTTTATTAAGGTAGAGGTCTGATCCCAATATGGAGAATGTACTGTCCCAAGCTTTGGGGGTTTGTACAGTTGTTTTTAGAAATACTTCTAGGGACCTATAAATTTTCAGTTCTTCCAAGGTGGAATGATAAGGGGCGAGGTGTTTACTCCTTTCCTGGCCTGTGCTCTGGTCTGTAAGTGACCACAAGCTCTCTTTTCTGTCTTAGAACTGTGAGGAGGATTTTCTCTTCATAGCCACTACAAGCTCCACCAGGCCAGCACTCCTCCTCACCCCGGGACCACCACCCAGAACTGTGACCCAGATCCAAGCACAGGCAAAGCAACAGATTCCTGCCTCAGCACTGGCAAGAGATCTCTGCAATGCCCCTCTGATCAGCCACTTGATTCCTCCTCAGTCTGTGGACTGGAAGCTCAGGAGGCAGCTGCCACTCCAGGGCCAAGCTTGGGGACTGGGGTTAGGATCCTGCACTTCTCTCTCCCAACAGAAACAGACTTTTCCCACTGACCTTCTAAGTTGTCTTTGGCGTTCGTGGGTTGAGAAGTCTGGAAACCTCCACAGCTGCCCGTGACTCAGTCCTCTGGTACCTTCTCCAGCATTGCCATGGCCTGCGAGCCCACGCTGAGAAGCATTCCTCTCCCAGCTCGGTGCGATACACCTTTCTGATCAATCATCCAGGTTGTCTTGGGCTGGACATTTGTTTCACTCTGTCTTTTTTGTGGGTCCTGCTGCTTTAGAATTTGTTTAGAGCCATTTTTTATGAGTATTTGGAGGGGTTTGGGGGTGAGCTCAAGCAAGTCACTGCTCTCACTCTGCCATCTTGGCTCTGCCTCCTATTTCTAAAGTACTTTTAACCTTTTCTCCCGATGGGCTTGTACATCTGTGATGTCATTTTCTCCTCACAACCTCCCTCTCAAGGTAGGTAAGAAAAATACTTCCTGTCACAAGTGAGCTAATTTCCCTACTCTCTACCTGCCTATTACTGAATAAAGATGGAGTCTCTGATCACCCCACCTCAAACCAGCCTGTGAGCCAAACCTCCTCAAAGATCCCCATTCTTTAAGTGACTCAGTTATCACAAGATGAGCTCCTGAGAACCCTATCACAATAGTCCAGATAATAGGACCGTACCCTCAATGGAACACAGATGGCAAGACAGTTCTGTCTTGAGCAAGTGACAAAGCCCTTAAAGGTATATCAGCCATGTGAAATCCACACACTAGGAGAGGCAGGAGCAGATTTTGCTCAACTGCAATAGCAGTATTCCATAGGTTCTATAGTCCTACCAGATTATTGCACCAAAAACAAGTGAGGTGCTATGTTAATACATTAACTAGACAGCCCTAGCTAATGGAGAACATAGAGATTCTGTTTATTTTGTACACATACATAATATGAACATATTATATGTGGGTGTATAGATATATATGGACATATGCATGTATGTATTCATATACAAAATATATCTTAAAAATAAAGTATATCTGTAAACTCCTTGAGGGCCACAGCTGTTTTATTTGGTTGTTTGGTTTTTTGTTTTTTTGTCTTTGTATTGCCAACACTTAGCACAGTGTCTATAACATAGTAGGAACTTAATAAATGATTTTTGATTGGTTGATTGTGATAGCCAGCAATGAATGGGATCCATTTGCTTTCTCATATAGGCCTTGTCTGGAAATGAATGGGCAGGTGCTGCCTTTTAGGCTCTGGTAATCAGTGGAACTTCTCTGTTTCTGGGCCAGGTTGGTGGATCTCTGTTCCCAGGGCCTGCAGATGATTGTCAGGGATGCCTCAACTAGACCAGCTCCACCATGTTGTATTAATTTTTGGCATAGTAAATCGAGTCCTTGTCTCAGATTCAGGAAGAGTGGAAGATTCCATTCTTGACTTGAATCAACATGGGCAGGATATAGTGTCTCAGTGCCTCTAAGGCAACTGTATTTTTAAAATTTTATTTGTTTTTCAATTAACAAAAATCTATTTTCTCTCCCTTCCCATCTTAGATGAAAGAGAGAGATGAAAAAAGGGAGAGAAGGAAAAGAAAGGAAAGAAAAAGAAAGGAATGAAGGAAGAAAAA